CTTTGAATGACAAGCGAACACGCCAGGAAACAACAAATATGACGACAAGATCGTTTCACTTCAAATATTCAAAGATTTTTGATTCACACGAGTGATTAAGTGAATGAAACACCAGATTATGTTGAAAAATCTATCCTTTTTCAATTCAAGCACTGTTCAATTGAACAATTTACAAAGAATTGTGTGTCATTTAATATGTTTACATGATTAATAACACAGCATGTGTCGGGTCCGTTTATTACTCCAATTACTTTAGAGTTGTGAATCATTAGCTTGTGAAATAAGTCAGATTACAGCTGTGAACTCTCTGTTCCTCGTCTTATATTTAGGTTGTTATTATTAATTATTCTGCAGTGTTTCTGACAATTACTCATCTTTGGGTCATTTTATTCCCTCCAGGGACCAAATAAGATCTGATAAGTGGATTCGATAACACATTTGCATACAATAAGACCGCACTGAACCCTAACCCTACTTATACGCACCCGTGCTTCATGACGTGGAGGTTCCACAGCTTCATGATCTCCTTCTCCCCCTCGTTGACGTCAGTGAAGTCTTCGATTTGCTGCAGTGAGATCAGAGCATTAGCATTAGCTAGCAAGGCAACATTAACTGCTTCTACTGCCCCAAACCTCATCGACCGCATCAACAGCTGCTGTGTTAAAAGCTTTGTTTGCTCCTCCAGAAGCCAAACGACAGATAAAATACAAGAAATACACATAAACATATGACAAGCAAACTTCAGTGGCCCTTCACTCGGTCGCCGGCTGTAAACTAACCTTGGCAGTCTTCTCTTTCAGCCAGTCCGGGTCCCGCTCGTCCTCGCTGTCCACTTCCATCTCCTGAGGCCGCAGCGGCACGCAGCTGTCACTGTGGAAGTAGAGGCGGTTGTGTCCGCTGATGTGCGGCCTCTGCTGCTCCCGATCGCTGTCCTCCGGCTCCAGAAACTCCGACAGACTCGCCTTCGTCCTCTTAGGTCTGGAAAATATTAAGATTCCAACGTGAACACTGCTCCCTCAGGAGTTATTGCCTCCCTGCGACGGGTAAAGTGAGGACGTAGAAAAGCTCCAGAATCAGAGTGAAGAGATCATCAGCGGTACCTGCAGGCGAGAATGTTGGTGACGGCGGTCCTCTTCACCGGGCCGTTCCTGCTGAAGGCGAAGCCCGGCTGGTTGTGGATGTCCTGCGGGTTTCCTGCATACGAACCATCGTAACTCTCGTTGATAGAGACCTCGACTTTCGCTCCTTTAGGGTGGGGCTGCCAAACATCGGGAGAGGTTCGCAACATGTCATCAAACTGACAGCGACAACAACTTCTTATTGCTTCACTGACTTTTTTTTAAATCTATCAGGATATCTTTATGATTTTAGCCTCTCTCTCTCTGTCTCTGTCTCTGTCTGTCTCTCTCTGCACACAGAGGGTGTGAGTCTTTCTCACCACGTAGTTGAAGATGAAGCGGGAGTGAGACAGTTTGAGGTGTTTGATCAGACTGTAGAGCTTCCTGCAGTTGAGGGTGCACCAGGGGCAGTGGAGGTCGTCTCTGGCCTCCGTCTGCTGCCGCGTGTTGTTGTTGTACTGGAACTGGACGGGAAGAACCAGAGAACACAGGCTGAGATGGAAGCTCAGTGGTAATAAGTCACATTGATATCAGACTGACAGGTTTGCTGTGCGGGCTGTGTGAGGCGGGACCGACCTGGTAGAAGATGCGCAGTTTCTGTCGGGGTTCGGCTGAGATTTGTTCTCTTCTCGTCTGCACGTCTGCATTTATGGATTCTTTAACAGCTGCAGCACAGAGGAGAAACACAACCATCACTCACTTTAAATGAAAGAAAAGCAGTTTCACCACCGACTGAATAACCTGAACACAATCTAAGCGTCTGTTGGTGTTTCTCTGCTCACCCAGAGTGTGTGTGGCTCTCAGAGTGCTGGGTCTGGTGTCCTGGTTGGTCTCAGAGTTGCGGGTGGCCAGAGGTTTGGCCACAGGTGCAGTGGAGCGGTCAGAGGAGTCGCTGGTCCAGCGCAGGGTGAACTGCAGGGTGGGACCCTGCGAGAAACTCTCAAACGGAGGCAAGCGCTACAAAAAGAGAGCAGAGCGAGTTTAAAGCTCACTTATTATCAACCTGACAGACCGACTGTCTCTGAGTGACACAACAAATGAATAAAACATTCCTGGTTAATGTATTTCTGTTTAAATGGGTTTCATTCGATGATGCAGCCAGCTGAATGTTGGAAAAACCACCGAAGACGATTTTGGTGAGTTTAATTTAGTTTGAGTCCATTTTCAAGTGTTTTATGATTATCAGAAACCCTGGAGAGGCAACGAGAGGATGAGGAATTTCACCGACTCGCTCTGCATTTGAGGTTAGATCAGAATATTTTTATTTCTTTATAGAGATAAAGTTTAAAAGGAAAACTCTTCATCTGACAGATTTTATTGTTTTGGGTGACTTCAGCCTGATGTTGACTCAGAATTCACTAAATAAGACGAGGAAGAAACGAGGATTGAACTGCTTGGTTCGGTGTAAACATCTTGCTTTTTAATTTATACGTTTCTCTCTCTCTCACCTTTCCGTCCATGATGGTCTCCCAGGTTGCCCTCTTCTTATTGACGGGACACTCCTCCATCTCTTGCATGGACACTTCATACTCGCCGTCTAACAGCTGCAGTCGTCTGCACACAAACATTTTCTCACTTGTTGATTCTGCAGCAGAGTGTAACAGCAGTTTCTTCCTGTGTGTCAGGAGGTGACAGTTTGTGTGAGCCTCACCTGTTTTTATCAAAGACAGTCATCTGAGCCACAAATGTGGTTTCTCCCTCCTCCCTGAGAGAGGAGCTCCTCCTCTTCCTGTTTACCACTTCCTCTGCAAAATCTGAAACAGAACATAAATGACATTTACCTCCTTTTCTAACACACAACACTGACAGGGAGGCTCCAGACTGATCGGTGCGGCACAAAGAGCCAAACACACACAAAAAAGAATTTGGTTTATCACAACTTGGGTCTTTTTGCTGTTTTCACAGTTAATTACGGAGTTAAAATATCGATGATATCAGGAAAGTTGTAGCAGATTCTTGTGACACTGACATGGTGTAATCAGCTGGAAAATGTCTGAACAAAGTCGCCTCTGTTGGTGTTTTTGGACGGCAGAAAACACACTGTGCTCATGATCGCAGCATCATGTGTTACAGCGTAATGTTTCCTACCCGTCACAAACTCTCTTTGGTGAGTACAGACACTGAGCTGCAGAGAGTTTCATTTCCACCATTACTGAATTAACATTAAGTGGCAGTTAATTAGAGATGTCACAAGAACCGATGCAACAACATTTTAAAAACGTACTTGTTTCTTGTTTCTGTTCCTCCTGTACAATGACTGCAGAGACAACGTACAGTGTTTAACACTAACTCCCTAACAGTGAAGAGTTCAAATGTTTTAAAAATAAAGAGGACTGTATGTTGAAGTACGTTGGATTTATTGTTTGTTTTCATTTTTTTTCCCGTGGTATCGAATTTCTATCGAGAATCGCAGAATTCCACCGATATCGACTACTAAATCTCCGGTATGGTGACATCCCTACAGTCAATCACAAACTGTCCTTAAACACCTGATTTACATGAAGGAGAATCACACAACAGGAGTAATGTCAGGATGGACTCTTGTGTTCAGCAGTTTACCTCTGTTGTGGTGATTCTCTCCGTTAGCCAGGCCGTTGATCTGCGTTCGGGGGTAACCGGGCCTCGATACTCTGAAGAGTAGCGAGTAAGACTTGACCATGTGAGAGTTGCTGGGTTCAAACTCGCTGCTGGGAACCAGCAGAGTGGGGAAGGAGCCCGGCTTGGCCTGAACTCCAGCGCTCGCTTCTGGGTTCAGAGGAACCTGCTTCTTCCCTGTAGGGACCTGCTTCACCGGACAGCTCACATCCTGGACCGGAGCAGAAATATCAGACGGGTTTCAGTGCAGGAAAAAACTGGAGACACTCGTTCTTTAAAAGACACACAGACACACAAACACACACACACACACACACACACACAGATACAGACACACACACACACACACACACACAGATACAGATACACACAGATACACACACACA